TTTTCCTAAACTTTCGGAAGTACCCCGAGCCAAAAATAGAAAATCTTCTGGGTTATCGAGTGTGCTGAATACGAAAAACCACTTTTCAGCAACTCTAAACCAACTTTATTTTTTTTCCGGTGATATGATTTTGAAAAGTTTTTAAGATGATTTTGATGATCACCGTGATCAGTTCTACTAGTTCTGAAAGTGCCATACGATTGGGAGAAACTTTATGTAAATTTGGTACATTCTCCAAAGAATAACCTCTTTGCACTCGAAGTTGATCATTTTTTTCAATAGTATATTCCCGTTGATCTTCACTGGCATGACGATAGCTATCTTGTAATTTATGATGAAATTCTAATGTACATTTTCGTAATTTATTCTTTTTTTCTTTAGAAAACTGTTCTTCAGTAGATGTCACCACTCTTTAACACAAGATGTTTCTGGTTTTGCTCAAGAGGTCTGATTAGCACTTTATGATCACACTTGTTTCTAGTGGAGTGACAGTGACACCAGTGAGAGCCTGCTTTAGTTTTACGAAACTATGAAAAGATACTTAATTTTAGATGTCTTCTGTAAATTTTATTAACAGATTATCATTGGTTCAACATGTATATAAATTACATTGCAGTTAAAACTAACGAGACATATAATGTATCGTATATAGGAACAACAATACAAAAAAGTAACATTTGTACATGCACATATTAACAAAAACTCAGCAAAAAATAATATCTTCAAATACTTCAAAAATTTTCATCATCATCATATGGCATTCTTTGCTGTTGTCGTTTTCGATTACTTCCCGTTTTCTTCTGTTGCTGAACGACGGCTAGTTCCGCGTCTTCATTGTCATATTCATCCTGTGGTTGTTCATCGTCACTCAAGTCAGCCGCCATCGCACCGAAAGATTTTGCGTTTCCTAAAAATAGAAAAAATTTTCCTATTGCATTTATCACTTCGTTTATACGTTTAATTACCTAGTTTCATGTTCATATTTTGTTGTCTCAGATCTTCATCACTTTCATTTTCACTTGTATCCTCACTTTCTTCTTCATCACTATGTTCGCCTGAAATAGAACAGACTAAGGTTTGAGACAATAACAATAGATTATATTCTTACCTATATCTTCATTTGGCTCATTCAGTTGACTATTAAGCATTTGTTGCTCTTGTTCGGTGATATGTGAATTGATTGACTGCATATATTGTCTAGATACTTCCTATAAATTAGTTAACGAAGTAATTCATTTATTAATAAAATTATCATTAGACTTTGTACCTGAACTTTTTCTCGTTGATTTTTAAAATGTCCATCAAGTTCTTTTTCCAAATAGGATGCAATACGAAATTTTAATACGTAGTTCGAATAGAGATTGTCTAATTCCTCCTCGAACTTTTCAAAATCATTCATAAATGATGGTCTGAAGAGAAAAAAATAAAAGAACAGTGATCGGTGAGTACTTTATAATTTCTTTTTGTATACCTAACGCTTCTTAACATATCCAACCGTCTTTGATGCCTGTCTTTTTCTTCCCTTCTTTTTGCAATTTTTTCATCTAATGCTTGTTCATCGATCTGTACATTATCAACCATTTTCTGATATTTGTCTAATTCATGCTAAAACAAAAGACACTTTTTAGTACAGTAAATTTCTCTGTAAAAACTGTTTATTTACTTTAGCAGCTCTTGCAGCCTCTTTAATTCCGTCTTCAACTTCTGACAATTCCATACTTCGATTAATAACTTCTTGTCGAGCTTCCTAAACTAGACAATTGTTTTACTTGTTCAGTACTTTTCTAAGTACCACTAACATACTCTTGCATCAAGTTCTTTTCCAAGCAATTCGTGCAAATTAGCGCCCTTTTGGGTAATTGTTGAACATAATGTACGTGCATTTTTTAATGTACTTATCTAAAATGAAAAATCAAGTCATTATGTCTATTCGAATGAGCAGAAAATGGCTTACATCATCATTCATCGCATATCGATAATGATGACCAGTTTCTTCATCCTCTTCAAGTTCTTTTTCTTCACTATCGCGTAATGCTTTGTACAATGGTGTAATGACTTTGAGAATTTCTTTTACGGCATAGCCGTCAGCTTGATAAAGTTTTTTTGTATTTAATTTCATATGTGCTTTGATAGCCTAGTGTAAATATATACATTCAATAAGTTAAGCAATCATTAACAGATATACTTACAATAATTTGTGCAACAGTTCTGATAAATATCACACGATCTTGTTCGCCGTCAATATCTTGAGGAATATCAGGTTGAGGATCGTATCTAAAACAACATATAACACGATGCATATAAATCTCCTGAATCTATTGGTTTCTTACTGCTTAACTAGCCACTTCATCAGTTCAGCCACTAGAGGAAAGTTTGGTTGACGAAAATTCTCCATTGATATTAAACGTGGATATGACAATACTCTTGCCATTTCACATAAGCCTAGAAAAGAATAATGAATGTATTGCTCGCCACATGCTCTAATAATCAAACTTACTACTAATGTCTCTATAAGTCATTATGATTTTACGATGAAATATTAATAATCCAGTGAGTATGCATTTTATAGATCAGTATACGACAATACATATTTTATCATCTTGAAAAAAAATATTTATCAAACTTGAATACAAGAGCTGTATTAACAAGCTCGAGATGTATCTGTATACGCTGCGAAAATCTTTATTTTCAATACATTTGTCCTTGCGAACAAAATATTTTGTATCATCCGTCTGTGAAACAGAAGGGTAATAGTAAAACAGGAAGACACCCAGAGACAGCACATATACAACCACAGACATCCATGGATGTCTGTGCGGCTGTCTGCGGGTGTCTTCATGTTTTACTATTACTCTGGAACAGAATATCAGCTCGGTCCTAAAGAGGTTATACCTGGATTCGTTCAGACTCTAAATGACACTTCTAAATGACTCTATGGTGTTCACGAAGTAACGCACACAAACAAGAGAACTTGAACAAACAATAAATCTTTCAATGGAGATTGCTCTTCACAAAAAGCTGGTGGCTGAGTGAGAGTAAAGGTAAATGCGAATCCAGAACTTTTTGAAAGCATTTATAGTTTTGTCGACTCCTCGATTTTCGAGAATGCTTTGTCGGGAAAAACTGATATCTCACCCTAAAGGTACATACGCCTGCATGTACCCTTAATCTTGACTTACTGGGCGCAGATCGCAGAGTCAACTGTCCCTGACGAAATTCTCGGGAAGTCATGAAAGAAAATCCCCGGAGACTCTCTAGTGATTAACCAAGGACTAATATCGATTCTTGGTACTCTCGCAAAATCGCGTGAATTCTCTCGTGAGTCTCTAGGGGATCATCGTGTATGAGTCGTTGAAAAATAGTGACTTCTCGGGGATTTTATGGTGATTCAGACTCACCTGAGATTTCACGATTTTCGAGGATTTCATCAGAGAAAGTCGACTTGCTCGCGAAAATAGAAGACCATTTTAGTCTTTTATTATGACAGGGAGGGTAGAGGAGTTCAAGAACTTCTGTTTCTGTATATGCTTCTAATGGATTAGCGGCTATCTTATTTGAACTTATTAAAAAATTTGTATTTATTATTTTTTAGCCAGTATACGCTAGTCATAAACGCAGAATTTTCTATCAGTCAACTTTCGTTCTCATTGTGTTTTTTCATTAAATAAAAGGTACAGAACAAAAAAAATAAGCCCCAAAAAATTACAGAGCATGAGTACACTAGAAGTTCACGTTTTACTTTTACTTCTAATATAACCCAATACTATTTTTTCTTTCTGAAATGCTTGACAAACAGCAGGATGATCAAATTTGATTAGACGAGCATAAGTGAATCTCGTTACTTAGCAGCATCGCTCACATGAAAATTATATTATGGATTACATATGCATACCTCCGTTTCCTTGATGAAAGAAAAAGAAACTGTCAGGAATTAGTAAACTAATTAATATTTTCTCGCAAGTGAATATCAGCGATATTCATTTTAATCAACTAATCGTCAGTCAAGATAAGTGTTCGGGAATTCCTCTTCTAACAATCGCGACTATCAACGTATTTTTATCTTGAAAGGAGTTGACAGTTCCAATTGTCGTAAGAAAAATTATCGAACACTTATCTTGACTCTGATTTAATCGCAGTTTATACATGATAAATATAATGTACTCATCTCCTGAATGATTTAGGAATCGAATATAATTCAAGAAATAGTCATGTAGTGTTTAACCCAAATATAAAATAATTTTGTTATTAAAAACCAGATAAAATGTTCGATCCGGTTTTGTTTTATTTTTAGTGTTTCTCTGAAATAAGTTTTGGACCATGACATTCTTCGTATATAGGGGATCAATACTATCACATTGTCAATGATTACCGAACGACTGATATTATTGTAGAATTAATCAGAATATCCATGTAGTCAAAATCGGCAATAAATCGACTATTTTATAGCGATTTATAGCAATCAATCAGTGAGTTTTTAGTTTAACCGTTAACTGGGCTCCTCGGTTCAAAGCTGACTCAGATCGAAATAATAAGTCAGTTCTGAGGAATCTACAGAAAACACTCTTGGCTAGGGGTGGCATTTGACTCTCATTTTGAACATTTTACTTTGGGCTATAAAAATTAAAATGTTCGTACTTGAAGACTTTGAGCTATGAGCTGGGTTTCCAAAGATCTCCTCGGAAACCTAATTAAAAAAAAGGTTTTGAATTAGTGTCTGTTATGAAAAGATGCTTCGAAGTTGCTTCTTTTGAATGATGAAAACCTGTCTTTTGTTCTTTCCGTTCTTGAGTTATCCAACAAACAGCCGCAGGTCTCATAATTTGAAAAGGATAGTAGAAATTTCAGCAGGACAGAAAGAGATAATGTCGTCTGACTTTTCAAAGTTTTCTGGTAGAAATATTCATCCAAGAACACGTTAGAAAATCTTTTGATATTCTTCTGAAAAAAAAATTTTTGTATTACTTTACTGAAAAGTAATATTAATTTTATGAATATTCCTATTCTCAGCAACAGTAATACTTTCAGTATTACTGTTGCTGGAATAGGAATACTGTTCAGTATTACTGTTACTAATAATTGGAATACATGGAAGATTACTGTTACCAGCGACAGGAATACCTTACAGTATTACTCTCCTCGGTAATGTAATACACGAGTAACAGTAATACTCTTGGCAACTCCGTTTTAAGCTAAACTAGAAAGATAATCTCAAAAGAAGAGCATTTCACGTTGAAATCGTGTTTCTTACTTGTTTATACTTATATTACTCTACTGCAGAATAAAACGGTGAATAACAGAAAACCATTTAATGGCTGAAAATCAATAATTAATCGCAATTAACTGACCATGATTAAATAAACAGAAAAATCACCAGGATCGCCAATTAATCATAACTAATTTGCGATGTTTTTAAGAATGGCCATAAATAGAAGTTATAGTTAATCAGTAAAAAATTGTCAGATTATAATTACTCAAATTGTAACTGTAAAATTATAACGCAAGGAATTCAAGAACTTCAAGAAGAAGAAGAAGAAGAAGATCTTGAACGTCTTGAAATTTCTTGAGTTCTTGTACCAAGACCTTGATGATTCTTGAATCGCTGTTTTGTTTCACACTCTTGCTTACATATGACTATGAAAATTTTCATACTCAGAATAACTTCGAAATTTGTCCTGTCTTGAATAAAGCTGGTCAAGAATCACCCTATAAAAAAATTCCAGTGCGAACAGGTACGCATGGCATGCCATCGGTCACCGGCACCGATGCGCACTCGTGCCGATATATTTTTGCAAAAAAAGTGCCGCACTGGTAAAAATCAGTGCCGTACGCGTACCACTCGGCACTAGTGCACACCACTGCCAGAGAAATTTTCAAGTTTTGCACCGGTACAAAAAAAACATATCATTCCGCACTGGTACGCACCAGTGTCAAAAAAAATCTTTGTAGGGTAGCCTATGATCACGTATGATTGTGTGTCTAATGGTTGGTTGTCATATAAGAAAGAAAACGTAAAAATATTTCCATTATAATACTTTGAAACATTGACTGGATTTACTCCAGATCTTGAAATTTCTTGGCCAAGATCTTGATGAAAGATATAATTTCCAGAGGAGTTGCTGTAATATTCAAAACAAGACTCTTCGAACTGAGGAAGAAGCGCTGGTAAAGACAGTCTTCCCGTTCCTGGACAATTCTGCTGTCCCAGAAAAGCTGAAAATTTTCTTTCTTACATTCTTTATGGCTCCTAAAAATCCTAAGCTCTTCGGAACAGCTCTATTTCGAATCAACTTCATTCTATCAAAGAAGTTCAATTAGCAGTTTTTCTTGCATTCTTTACACTCAATATGTAAATCGAAAAGCGAATGGACATCGTAAGAAATACGGTTTAGAAAGATACTACTTGTTTTCTTTATTTAATGTAGATGTCAGTTTTAAGTAGTACCTTCCAATGGTTAAAATGTCTTAACCTTCTGAATGGTGCTATGATGTATGATTGGTCACTTATGGACAATGGTACAGTTAATCTAATGGACAATATATAGAAGGCTACGTTCACGTTCACACTACAAATTTTTCAGAGTTAACTCTGAGTTTCAGGTTACCGAGCTCATTTATGATTGGAGAGTTAAAGTTAAATGATGTCTGAGATCATTTAACTTAGAGTTAACTTTTTAACCAATCAGCTTCGTTTTAGCTCATTTAACTTCTTTAGTGTGAATGCACTGCCAAAAAAAGTCACACGAAATCCGTGGGAAAGTCACAGCAAAAATGTTGTATTTTTGCTGTTGAGTTCAACGCTTTTAATGCTGAATGAAATGGCTTCGCCGTGAAATTAGCAGAAAACGTTACTTTAAACGTTTTTACAGTCATCTCTTGCTGTCACGGTTTTCGTGTTGCGCTCACTGTAAACAAAAGTCACGTAAAATCCATGGCAAAGTCACATTAAAAGTGTTGCTTTTTCGGGATGTCATACTTTTACCGTTGGCTTCAACTTTTTTAACATTGAATGACATGGCTTTTGAAAACTTATTAATGACATCCAGAAAAAACGTTATTTTCAACGGTTTTGCCGTCAACTTTTGCAGTTACATTTATTCCGTCGCGTCACATTGTCACATTTTTCCCGTTTCACACCACAGATTTTCAGCGTCATCACAATGCTAGATAGTCTTTCTAACAATTGGTGGACCTGTGAAAGCAAAGCGATCTTGCACTTTGTAAAAGTCGTTTCCTACTCTGTTTTTCACTTCGAAAATGAAGAATACTACTTTATAGACCACTTCACTTTTTCAAATTTATGCTTCGCGTTTTTCTGATCAGGACTAATTTCACCAGAATGATTAATCTTATTGGCTTAATCTCTTTTATCACACAGAGGTACAACTATCTGTTTCTCTCACTTTTCGTGAATAAACAGTCTTAGTCTTAGAGGTACAACTGTTTGTTTGTCCGACCGTCATACAAACGAGTTGGTTTATGCCAGTTTTAAGCAAATACTAGAATGTCGCTTTACTTAATAAATTGCATTACTGTCATTTTCCTTTGTATCAGATAAAAACATTATCTGATCTCCGTATTTTATGAACGACGTTGAAGAAATTATAAAAAGGTTGTTTTTTAAAAGTTCTTTTTATCGCTCTTGCTTCGAGGAAGTTCAAGACCGGACCTAACTGACGCCAAGATCGCCGAAGAGATCTAAATTTTTGCTTTTTTGTTCGTGTTCTATAAGCTTCCTTAACATACTTCACAGACCCTACTCAATGATGGAACGAACTTTAGTAGGTGATGCAGAGAAAAGTAGGTGAAAAAACCACGGACTTTTCTGTTTTCAAATTTACAGTGCTCGTATGTTTCAGAAAATGTTGAGGAAATTTGACCGTTGCGACCAGATAATTTTTATTTTACTTTTACAGCAGCGTTTTCGATATAACTTTAGCAAGGTGAAGGAAGTTTTATGGAGCAATTTTAAAAATTTAGCTGATAACCATAAAGAAAAGGCTTTAACTTTTCGGACTAATTCCAGAAAAAGCGAAGTAAGGTGGTTTTCTTCGTTTTCCAAGTGAAAAACAGTGTTAAACGACTTTTATAAAGTGCAAGATCGCTTTGCTTTCGCAGGACCACCAATCGTTAGAAAGACTATCTAGCATTTGCGATGACGCTAAAAATCTGTGGTGTGAAACGGGAAAAATGTGACGCGGCAGAAAAAATGTGACTGAAAAAGTTGACGACAA